CGTCTTTATTACGTTTATATCTAATTATGTAGAACAATGTCTGACCGCAGGCCCTGCACACATTTTTACAGATAGCACTTTCCATGAATGGATGTGGTTTCCCCTTTCCACCCTTATTCAAACCCCCCCAGACATGTAGTCTGGTCCAGTGTTTGGCTCTTTTGCATCATTGTGTGACACAGAGAGAGCTTTTGTAAATGAATGTTTCTTCCTGATAAGTTATATCAAAGCTAAAAGGTACAAAATATATTATTTATACTTTTTTATTTTATTTTTCGTTTCACAGTTAGTAAAGTTAGTAACATTATTCATTAACTCGTCGTTTTTCTGTCTATCTCCATCACCACGAGCAACAAGTTTATTTCGCTTTTTCTGTTTAATAATAAATAAAAACCCTACCTACCTATCTACCCTGCAAAACATGCGTATACTCGCATGGCACTCATATTCAGTCTATCTGCTTAAAATCCAAAAATCAGGGAAGAAAATTATGCAAAAGCTTAAAAGGATTCTTCTTTTGTCAACTGCAGTTTAATTAGTTTTATTTTATTAAATCAAGCCTTGCATCAGGATTCATCGGCCTATTTCCTTTAAGACACATTCTGATTCTGATTCTGATTCTGATTCATTTAAATAAACGTATATGAAGTGAGCTATTTTCAATTCAAGTTTCTTCTTCTTTCTTGCACATGTGTATCAATAGTTTCACAAAACGTATGATTGGAGTTAAATCACTTGTTAGTATAGATGGACATTTTTTGCAGTGGGAAAGGAGGGAAGCCGTTAAAATGCCACCAGAAGGCGCTGTTGCCCAACAGTCAGCCTCTCTGCTCCCATTCAGGCTCTTTTACTAGCAGCTTCCTGAGCACAGCGATTGGCTGAGACACTGGTCATGTGATGCGGTTCAGTTTTGAAAGTGGTTTTGGAGAATTGTGTGAGAGAGATTTTAAGCACTTGTTAAAAAAAAAAATGAGATCATCTACTTTGATTATTTATGGCTGCATTTAGTGCTGTGGGATTTTTTATGTTCAAGTGCTCTACAAACCCATTAATTGTATTATACTTTATGTTTATCGTCATTGATTAATCTTATACAAACAGGGGACACTTTGTTACCAGAAGCCACTTCAGTTAAAGATGCTGAACAAACTGTAGATTCATTGACATGAACTGTTTGAACATTGTCACACAGATTCTTGAGAGTTAAGCAGCATGACATCCTCCTCATGGTGGGGATGTTAAAGGAAATGCTCTTTAAGGGTGCTAAAGGAGCTGAAAAGAAAAAAAAGCCTGTTTGTTTATGGGCATAAAAGTGCATGCAAGCCATTAAACCACAGAGTACCCACTAACAGCAGGAACTATATGAGGGGATGTACTTCTAAAACACCCAGGAGGCAATACGGGGGTTACCTTCAAATTATCTCCAGGGAAATCACTTTTTTTATGAGGACATGCATGTAAAAAGTGACAAGCCTCTGATTTGATGCCCTTCCATTTATCATACCTGCCCCAATGTGGCAGCCAACCAAACCTCAACATCATCCGCCCTCTCCAGTTTGCACAGGAAGAGAGAGGAGGGACAAAACTGCTGTGCGCTCTGGGATTGGCCCGGAAGAATGAATGACATCAGTCTTATTGTGTCAGGTTCACTGGGGAGAAAAATATATTTGAACACAAATCAGTGATGCATGTTGGATGTTTTTCGAACACTTTAGAGGTCAAGAGGCTTCAGTAAAAGGATATAGTATATATGATCAGTCCATATATATGATATATATAGCCTATAATCAGGTCTGTCCTATTGGGAGCAAAAATAATTTAAATTCTTTAATGAAATAAGTGGACAACATATAAGATTATTAATTTTATTGCTCAGGAATCTACTTATACTTATACCAGACTTTGTTGTTTGTTCAAGCATTGCATTATAGTAGCTTATAAGACTCAAGTGCAAATAACTGCGTTGCCAAAATAAAATGAAGTAGTTTGATTTTATCTCAGTGCACTTCTGCCCCCTATTTCTGCCATGACAGTTACAACCTCCGGGCTTCCTCGTTTCTACGACTTTTCCTTAGTGCACATCAGTGTAATCGGCGTTATTGAGTAAGTGCAACTTTGAAGATTATTTATGGGTCTGCGCGGTGTTGTGAGTGGCTGTGAGGAAACACGTGACGCCATTAAAGTTTGTTTTATGGCCCGGGACTTGACAAGCCAAAATATAATTCTCATTGTGTATTAGTAAGACCGTCCAGATGGGTTGGAATAGAGCTTCAATTGGCAGGGAGCTGATCCAGGCTGACTTTTCCTTCAGCAGGGATGTGTTTGCTCCTCGGTGTGCCATGTGTTGCGGTCTCTGTGGTAAGCTGTGTTTTATCATTATGCTCGTGGTATGGGCGTGTGATGTCACACGCATAGGCTATAGTGTTTCCTGCCTCTAAAAGCGGCAACAGTGTTGAGGACAAACAGAGACGGTTAGATGATGCGCTGCTGTAAAGGAAATTGTGTTTAATCGTATTACCGTGAGCTTGAGCTTGGTTTGGGTTTAAACCTTTCAGGACTCAATCGATGCTTTGTTTGATGCTGTTATTCAAGTTGTTTGGTTCACTGCTGTGATTTAGTCCCTTGATAGCATTTGGATTCGTATTTTGTTGGAGGCTGAGAAATCAACATGTTGTCAGCAGACTTTTTTTTTTTTTTTTGAAGATTTCTGAAGAATTGGATGAAAAGTCTTCACAGCCTAGTTAAAATAATACATCTTTATGTGCTATTGTTAATCAGCAACTCACCCTCTGTTACAGTTTCCACAATTAACAATTCGTTTGTGGGACAATATGTGTTTCAGTTTTAACCACACTGAGATGTATAAACAACTAAAAACAGCACTGCGGTTACCACAATAACAAGCTGTTTATTTCACATTATGCTGCTGCTTTATTCACTGTAGGCCTAATGCATTTCTTCTGCAGGCCTTTAAATGATTAATTTCGTCAGTCACTGTTAGAAATCCACTGTAATAAGGGTTAAATAATAAGCTATTTAATACAAGGCTTACAAGGAATTTAAGCTATATTCTTTATTATTACCAGTCAAAAACGCCCCCTTACTTCGCCCTAAAATCAGATTAAATAGGCCTCTTGTTTTCTGTTGCTCTCAAACGCTCAACTTTAGCTTTTTAAAAGCAAAAGCCTGTAATCTTAATGGAAACAGAGTCGGGCTGAACTAGTTGGCCTTTCGTTTAACACAAGCTGCCAGGAAACGCTGACTTTATCATTCTTTTGTTGTGAATCTCGGCTTTGACCCGTCTGAAGGACTTGCAGGGCAAGGTGAAAGACAGGTCAGGCTGTCTAACAAATATTGAAATGTGAAGTGCAAGAACGAATTTTTACAGATGCTATAATTTAATCTTTTAACTGTGGTTGAAACGAATATTTTATGTTTTTTGTTGAAAGTGGAATGGACATATACAGAGTAGAGATACAAGCCTCAGTCTTTGTGACATTATGTAAAGTCGACAGCTCATTTTGGTGCTTTGTGTTTTATTTTTTACTTTCTCTGTTATAACTTTCACATTGACAATATGAGGCTGAAGCTGTAACTTTAGCCAAAATGTTATATTAAAAAACGATTTAATGCACCATCCAATAAATAATCAGTTAGTTCCTGCATACAATTGTTCTTTAATACAAAAGAAAATATGGTCCAGTTATTATTTAAGCTTATCCAGAACTGTGATATAAACAGTGTTACATTTGGCCAAAAGTGCTTCAAAACAAAAGTTACATAAATTTTACCCTGAGATTATAATTTCATTCTTTAAAATCTGATCCTGACTGACCCAAAGCGTGAGTAGTTGCCATAAGAATACATTATAAACTCTCCCATTTAGACTGATTTAAAAAGAAAAAATTTAATTCTAAATAATTTTGTGTGCTTGAGAAATATTTTGCTGGCTCTGGTCATAACACACAATAACAAGCCATTCTTAACCATTCTCAGCTTTAATTCATTTGTAAGGATGTTGCAGCAGCCGCCATGGTGGTTTGGTTAATGGCCGGCGAGGAATTGGTAAACTTTTGCTCCCTTTGAGCTGTCACCAGGACGGAAAATAATTGAACTTTTTGATAAGTTTGTAAATGATTTAGTTCGACCTCAGTGGCCTCTAGTCTCATCTTTCGGGCAGTGGTGATAAGCTCCTCTGTATTAGCCATGGAGGTTAACTGTTGGTGAATTTATATTAACGTTATTTGACAAATGCTTGTCTTTTGATTATGAGGTGACAGCTTGCAAAAGTGAAAAGTTATTTATATCATTTAAAGAAGATGGGCTTTTTCTTGTTGTGAACTTGGACTATGATGGATAAATGATCTACTGCACAGACACCTTTAACGCACTGACCTGATATAGTGGCGGATATTTTCGTTCAGTGTCTTCTGTTGCTTACATTGACAGCAATGCTCTGGGCAGAGGGATCCTGTTGGCCTACAGTTTTCTTTCTTGGAGACGTTTGAAGCTAATGTGTGATTAATTTTTGGTTCAAACCAACAACACAAAGGCCCTAAACTTAAAGAGATGCTTGCTCCAAGGGAAATGCATTAAAAGGAAATCATCAAAACGAAAAAGAAAAAGGCTGATCCAATCAGAGAAAATGTGTTAAAAGTTGAGACTGAATAGAAGAAGACACTCTGGTATTATTACAGGCTATAAAAAGATTCTTCAAAGTGTATTTTACTCCATCTGGTTGTGATGCATGCCTCTTATTTCCTTATGTAACCTTATTCTTGTGATGTTTCTGTTTATCCTGACTGTGAGCCACAGTCAATTTAAATGTAATGTAAATTTTGTTTGGTTGAAAGTGCTCTACAAAAAAAGTGCTGCGGTTATGGGGCCAAAAGTGGGCAGTGTCGCTTGCCGTCGTCTATATATACCCTGTAGAACCGAATTTGTGTGATCAAACCACAGTCACAGATTCGATTCTAGGGGAGTATATGGTCGATGAAAAAACTTCGATTTGTTGACTTATTGCCATCTTATCAGGTCGTTTGGTGCCTGATGTGCCTGTCAGCTGCTACAGTGACAGTGCTGGTTCATGAATGAGAGTAAATCTGACAAGAACACATACTTCTTAAAGAGGGGCTCAGGGGCATGTTGAAACTCTAGAGGCTTATAGGAAATCTGACGCAAAATGTTTCAAATGAAAATAAACATAATTAGGAAGAAGGCATTTTCTATTTAGCCCAGCACCAGAGTGGATTTGGTAAAAGAAACGAACCCACAGCACACTCCAGCTGTAGCTTCTCCCTCCTGTGAGTCGTTTGTGTCTCTACATTATTGATTCCCAGAGGCTGCTGCTGCTGGCCAATAGGCTCCTGAGACAGTTTTTTTTTCTTCAAAGGGATGAGAGCAGATGAACTGATGAGATTCGTGTAACTTTTGGATGACCCCTTCTTGACAAAGACTGTCTCCATCAATTGTCCCCAGTCATTATTCGCTGCTTTTATGCCATGGGGCTTTTTGTATCTTTTGTTGGTTTCTCTGTTGAACACCATGCCTTCTAGTAAGACCTTAGAAACTGAAATATTTTAATATCTGCAAGAATAAAACAACTCCATTCATAGTCAGCGCGACCTTTTTAAAAAAAAATTGGTTTTATAATTTTAAAGTTAAATATTGAGTAAGGCTTTGGAGCCATGTGCATTTCTATTATTTTTCCAGCATGCCCTTTTATAATCCAAATGTGTACGCAGATCTGTCATGACAATATTTGTGTTTTTTTTCCCACTAGGGTCTAATTTTGTTTTATCTCAAGTTAGATGAAATTGCTTTTAGTTGTATGTTTACCCGTTTATGGACCAGCGTCACCTCTATTGGCCGATCTGGTCACATGGTTCGCTAACTTTATTCAGTTGACACCAAGTAGGAGGGCTTTATGGAGGGAGGAAAAAAAGACAACTCGAGAAAAATTAGTATTTTCTACCTTCAGAAATTAATGGCCATGAGTTCGTATATGGTGAACTCTAAGTATGTGGATCCCAAATTTCCTCCCTGCGAGGAATATTCGCAAAATAACTATATACCTGAGCAGGGCTCGGACTACTACAGTCCATCGCAGGACACAGACTTTCAGCATCCAGGGATCTACCCACGGTCAAACTACACGGAGCAGCCCTTCAGCTGCAACACTGTGCAGGACTCCACAGCACAGCCACGGGGTCATGTGCAGGAGAGATCCGGTCAATCGAGTCCCTTTAGCGCACAGACTGAGCAGGGGACCCCGGTCCAAGTGGCCGGACCCCGGACTTGTGGACAGCAGCAAAACACAAAGAGCCAAAATGGGATACAAGCCAAGCAGCCTGCAGTAGTTTACCCCTGGATGAAGAAAGTCCACGTAACTACTGGTAAGATTTCCACTTATCCTTCTCCTTCTTCTTCCCTTATGGACCAACTGAGACCTGTACTTTAGAAATCATTCAGTGTAATATTTATGAGAGTCTTTGAAAGGCCTCGCCAATTACACAAGTCATAAATTTTTATAGCTCAGGAAATAGGCCGCTAGGTGAGCGCCTGAAAGCTCCTGAAAACACATATTGACCGGTTGTAATGGTGCTTAAATCTGCAGCAAATCTGCTTAAATTCAGTGAAAATCATCCATTATTTCCTGCTCTCGCTTCCTTGTGAATTTCCTTAAAGTTTGAGCGCCCCGGGTAGAGAGACTCCTCTTGTATTGTTTTTGCCTGCATGCTGCATTGGCCACATTTGGTGACTTCTTCTTTTTTTCCCTTCTGTTTTCTTTCTCCCAGTGAACCCGGATTACACAGGACCTGAGCCCAAACGGTCCCGAACAGCTTACACCCGGCAGCAGGTTTTGGAGCTTGAAAAGGAGTTCCATTTTAACAGGTATCTGACCAGGCGGCGACGGATTGAGATAGCTCACACCCTTTGTCTCTCCGAAAGGCAGATCAAAATCTGGTTTCAAAACAGACGGATGAAATGGAAGAAAGATCACAAACTACCCAACACCAAGGGCAGATCTGCACCAGCCTCCAGCCATCTGCAAAGCATTCAGAAGGATAACCAGACTGATATCACATCATTATAAGAGAGGAAGGTGTGTCACACCTTTTTAGAAATAAACTGTATATAAAAAAAGACAAAGGTTGCATCTGACTTTTGCATGGACTGATGTTTTTAGCCATTTTTTTTTTTTTTAATTTAACAAAAATGATCCCAGCAGTGTTGACTCAAGACTGAGTCAGAAAAATCAATCAGTCTTGAGGTTTGAGATGTTTTCAAAGTTGAGCCTCTTTCTTGTTTTAATTTCCTCAAAGAGAGACTCAAAACCATCGAAACAAACTTTATTTTATTTTTTATTTTATTTTTTTTGAAACTCACGCATTTTGGTAATCATCGTGGATTCCTGTGTGTGTGCGGTGGTGTGAGCGATGGCGTGTGAGTGTAGTGTGTGCCAAATTATATGTGCGTCTTTTTTTATTACCTCACTAGTCTAATAAAACTACATCTCCATAAGTGAAGTCGTGTGTATTGATTACAGTATGTATTGATATTAACTATTAAGTGCATATTGTGTAATTATTTTCTAAATAATATACAGCTTTGGTCCATTTCTCATTGAATATTTGGGGAATGCGCAGAGGCAGACTAGTTGGTTTGATCAGTTGTTCCTTTTTTTTTTTTTTTTTGTTTTGATTTTTTCTTAAGTGCAAATGCGCAATTTTTTGTACTGATTATATTCATGCGATTACTGTGAAGGTAAAGTCTTGTAGATCAGA